TAACTTTAATTTTTCTACAAATCGCATTTCTAGTGATGTGTGCTTTCCAAAAACAATTTTTTATGATAAAACCATAAAATATTCCAATATAGTATTAATTCTGAAGAATAAATTTATTCGTAAGGATAAAATATGTATGTGTGTTCCTCGAACAAATATTATTCACATTAATATAATAACACAGTCGCTTGGTAAGTTAATCATAGATTAAGTTAATCGCAGATTACGATTCTTTTTAATTCGAAATCATTCCGAGTCAATTGAAATCGAATAAAAAATGATGGTATGAAATTTTGCAATAAAATTCGGGTGCTGGTTCTTGCGTTCACATTAAGCATAAATCATCGATCACATAATTAATATTTTAATAAATTGTTTTCAGCAGTTTAATTGCTTATCATCTTATCCAATAATGATGCATTGATTATATCCAAACTCGATATTATACAATCTTTTGATTTCATATTAATAAAATAAATATAAAACTTAGCTATGAAATGGCCGTCAAATAATAGATTAATAAATTTTTTATTTAAATATAAAATGAATTATATTAATTATTATATCGTAAAAATGGCTGTTAAAAAACTGTACTACATAAATATATTGTAAAAACTTATATTCTTATATTATTATTATTGTAACAATTAAAGAATTACAGTTTTGCAATGTTTGTGGAATATTACAAGCATATTACTGACATTTTGCAGGCATATTGTTAATTTACATTTCTGTAATACCTCTGCAGTGTTACATTGCAATCTTGCAGCAATATTACTTCAATCTTCTGTGCTGTATGGGTATTGAATCCGCTGTACGCAATCATAGTTAGTTGAACTGACTCAGTTCTTACACTTAAGACGTTCTCAATACAGAGAAGAGTCTCGAGATGTTATAAGCCAATCACAGAGCCGTACTAAGATCTTATGATATTGTTTAAAACAGTCTTAAAATAATAACGAATTATAAATACCGACCTTAGACAGGTGAGTTGTCTAGATAACACGAATTACGACTTTATCAACTGCACGTTTGAAGAAATATAAATAAAATAAAGTATAAATTAAAATACAATTTCAATCAAAAATTTTCACCTTTTGTAATTGTTTCAATAGAAATATTTAGATTAATTTAATTTAAACTCTCTTTTTATAATTATCGAGTTGTTATCGTATGAAAATTCTTTAATTCCTATTCAGAACACGCTTATTATATTAGAGTATTTTTAGTGCATAGTTCATGTTCCATATAAAATTAAAAAAAATAAAAGTGCATTTATCGATAAAAGCACATTAATACTTTCTTTTGTTAATTGTCCATTAACTTCTAACTCGATTGACTCGATCAGTAGCTTGCGCCTCTTTCGGTCGAATCGGCAAGTTAAATTCTCGAAGCTGAAATCCATTTACCGGACATGACGTCATTCTTTGGTATCCGCTTGTTCGTATGCACGTGTTTGCGTGTATGCGTGTCTAATTTTAGATCTATTCCTTTTAGCTGAACTATGTTACAATTCGCACACTTAAAATAAGATGATTATACAATTGTGCTTTGGAAATAACGAACACTCAGTGTAGATTCAGTGCAGCTAAAAAGAACAAGCCATTGCACGTCAACGATGGTTAGCTGGCAGTATCCAAGAAACAAGAATACAGCAGGATCTGCTGTAGCCGTTGGCATCCAATTGTGTCACGTGAAACTCATGCACGTACACATGGCGAATTCGTTTGAATTCTTGACGTACTACGAAACAATGAGAAAAAGGTTCATGAAGACGCGAAGAGACTCTTCCTCGAAACATAACGTCACAAATGCATAAAGAAAACTTGCATTTTAAGTGCGTCCTTATATAGATAGAAATACGATTGAATAATTTTATGCATATAATTATGTATAGCTATGCAAGTTCACTTGGATAAATACAAAACAACAATTCCGTTTGAGATTGCCAACCAAGAAAGATTTAACGAACAAAAACTACTTCTCATTTCCATACATTTTTGTTTGTATTATTCTGTAGTTCCTCACGTTTTGTACATTTTCAGATTTCTTGCACGTCTTGATCTCTTGGTTAATTACGTTTTGATAATTATAATAAAAAACTATGTTTATTTTTTTATCCAATCCCATATTTATTATAACAATATTCTAAGAATCGGCGATTGACAATACTTTGAATCATAAATGTATTTAGGAAATTAAAAAATGAATGATTGACCATTGATTTAATCCCGGTATGTGTGTTTAATACTTAAGTAATTATAAAGAGAATTATTTATAATAAAATGCACTCGCGGCAAACCGGATAGATACGAGCTCCTTAAATCAAAGAATAATTGAATATACGTGTCGGAATAATGACTGGATCGATAAATTTATAATCGATAGCTTGGAAATGTATTATGCTTATAAAAAAAGTGTCTTCAGTTTTGCTCTCCGTGCACTCTTTAAATTTCTCGGAGGGAGAAACAGTCTGAAGAATTTAAAGAGCAGCGCAAACCGGCACGAACAGAGGTATTGTAACACAAAATCTCCAAATCTGCAAAAATATATGTAAGAAACATCATTATATAGTTATCGCCCTTTTGTAAATTACGACTTAAGAATGCGCTAATTAAATCTTGTGTGCACGCTGTCGACACGAACGTGTTTTCACCAAAAAGGTTAAAATAAGTGAGGTT